TAGAAAGTACAGGTATTTGTGTTCAACATGTAAGAAGTAGAAAGTACAGGTATTTGGGTTCAACATGTAAGAAGTAGAAAGTACAGGTATTTGTGTTCAAAATGTAAGAAGTAGAAAGTACAGGTATTTGTGTTCAACATGTAAGAAGTAGAAAGTACAGGTATTTGTGTTCAACATGTAAGAAGTAGAAAGTACAGGTATTTGTGTTAGAAATGTAAGAAGTCAAAGTAAAAAGTCGTCAGAAAAATAAGTAGTGGAGTAAAGTACTGATACCAGAAAAATGTACTTAGGTACAGTAACAAAGTATTTGTACTCCACTACTTCCCACCTCTGGTTACGACACAATATGAGCGATATGGTACGATACGAGTTGATGCAATACAGTAAAATACGATATATTATGAGCAATACGGTCAAATATGTTACGATACAATATGAGCAATATGATAAGATAGCATAATAATAATACACAGGATTTGTATAGCACTTTTCATAACGCTCAAAGACGCTTTACATAAAATCAGAACAGAAAACAAAACAAAGAAAACAAAAACCAAATTTTAAGCGATAAGAAACGATAATATATGATACGACACAATATGAGTAATATGATACAACTGCTTTAATTGCGATGCGATGTTTACAGTGAGAACATCTGAGGTCCGTGCAGAAAGCAGAGCAGTGTGTATAATATAACTCAATAATATATATATAACAGGCCTCAATTACACTCTTTATTTGAAGGCTTGAGGGAATGATATCCAGTCTCTGGAAGTGTTACGTTATTATGTGACGTTAAGTACATTCACACAGACACATCTACTGACAATGGTGACCTATTACACATTTTACATCTACATTACATTAGATTTAATTGGATAAATAAATAAAATGAACCAGTGTGAAGCAACATTTGTTTTGAATAGAATTGGGAGGGATGAACCCCTCTTTAATGGTCACACATGCAGAGCACACAGCACACACAGTGACATTTGGCCTGTGCATTTAACCCATCCTAGTAGCAGGAGTCTAGTACTAGGGGCAGTTTTAAACTGAAGACAAACATAAGGTTCCTGTTTCAGGGATCTTTCCGTGTGTTTGCAGAGCTCTCATGAGAGGGCACACCTTAAAAAAACAGAGATGGCCTCAGTGGATAGAAGTGGGATTATCAGAGTAGTTTGTCTTCAGCAGCGTGAAGAAAACAGGGTGTGTCGAAACTAAAGTGAATCTTCCATACAAACTCCTATGAGACTGATTTGATCCACTTTATCTGGTAAAGGCACGCTCATAGATACCTTAATTCATGTTTAGTTTGTCTTTCCACTTGTATCATACATCCAATTATTCATTATTCTTCAACCAGCCGACAAATAATTATGCCAAGAAGACATAGAATACGTCAGTAAATGCCCCACTCGTGAATTTAAAGGTTTAAAAGGTTTTAGAGGTTGCTAACAAGTTACTAAATGAAACGACTAAACGTCATCACGCCCAACATTAGCCTCCTTTAGCTTAGCGGTGGTGACGTGAAGTCATGTGACCGTGCTGTAGTTCCTTTATAGCCCAACATTAGCCTCCTTTAGCTTAGCGGTGGTGACGTGAAGTCATGTGACCGTGCTGTAGTTCCTTTATAGCCCAACATTAGCCTCCTTTAGCTTAGCGGTGGTGACGTGAAGTCATGTGACCGTGCTGTAGTTCCTTTATAGCTCAACATTAGCCACCTTTAGCTTAGTGGTGGTGACGTGAAGTCATGTGACCGTGCTGTAGTTCCTTTATAGCCCAACATTAGCCTCCTTTAGCTTAGCGGTGGTGACGTGAAGTCATGTGACCGTGCTGTAGTTCCTTTATAGCCCAACATTAGCCGCCTTTAGCTTAGCGGTGGTGACGTGAAGTCATGTGACCGTGCTGTAGTTCCTTTATAGCCCAACATTAGCCACCTTTAGCTTAGCGATGGTGACGCGAAGTCATGTGACCGTGCTGTAGTTCCTTTATAGCCCAACATTAGCCACCTTTAGCTTAGCGGTGGTGACGTGAAGTCATGTGACCGTGCTGTAGTTCCTTTATAGCCCAACATTAGCCACCTTTAGCTTAGCGGTGGTGACTTGAAGTCATGTGACCATGCTGTAGTTTCTTTATAGCCCAACATTAGCCACCTTTAGCTTAGCGGTGGTGACGTGAAGTCATGTGACCGTGCTGTAGTTCCTTTATAGCCCAACATTAGCCGCCTTTAGCTTAGCGGTGGTGACGTGAAGTCATGTGACCGTGCTGTAGTTCCTTTATAGCCCAACATTAGCCACCTTTAGCTTAGCGGTGGTCACGTGAAGTCATGTGACCGTGCTGTAGTTTCTTTATAGCCCAACATTAGCCTCCATTAGCTTAGCGGTGGTGACGTGAAGTCATGTGACCGTGCTGTAGTTCCTTTATAGCCCAACATTAGCCTCCTTTAGCTTAGCGGTGGTGATGTGAAGTCATGTGACCGTGCTGTAGTTCCTTTATAGCCCAACATTAGCCTCCTTTAGCTTAGCGGTGGTGACGTGAAGTCATGTGACCGTGCTGTAGTTCCTTTATAGCTCAACATTAGCCACCTTTAGCTTAGCGGTGGTGACGTGAAGTCATGTGACCGTGCTGTAGTTCCTTTATAGCCCAACATTAGCCTCCTTTAGCTTAGCGGTGGTGACGTGAAGTCATGTGACCGTGCTGTAGTTCCTTTATAGCCCAACATTAGCCGCCTTTAGCTTAGCGGTGGTGACGTGAAGTCATGTGACCGTGCTGTAGTTCCTTTATAGCCCAACATTAGCCACCTTTAGCTTAGCGATGGTGACGCGAAGTCATGTGACCGTGCTGTAGTTCCTTTATAGCCCAACATTAGCCACCTTTAGCTTAGCGGTGGTGACGTGAAGTCATGTGACCGTGCTGTAGTTCCTTTATAGCCCAACATTAGCCACCTTTAGCTTAGCGGTGGTGACTTGAAGTCATGTGACCATGCTGTAGTTTCTTTATAGCCCAACATTAGCCACCTTTAGCTTAGCGGTGGTGACGTGAAGTCATGTGACCGTGCTGTAGTTCCTTTATAGCCCAACATTAGCCGCCTTTAGCTTAGCGGTGGTGACGTGAAGTCATGTGACCGTGCTGTAGTTCCTTTATAGCCCAACATTAGCCACCTTTAGCTTAGCGGTGGTCACGTGAAGTCATGTGACCGTGCTGTAGTTTCTTTATAGCCCAACATTAGCCTCCATTAGCTTAGCGGTGGTGACGTGAAGTCATGTGACCGTGCTGTAGTTCCTTTATAGCTCAACATTAGCCACCTTTAGCTTAGCGGTGGAGACGTGAAGTCATGTGACCGCACTGTAGTTCCTTTATAGCCCAACATTAGCCACCTTTAGCTTAGCGGTGGTGACGTGAAGTCATGTGACCGTGCTGTAGTTCCTTTATAGCCCAACATTAGCCACCTTTAGCTTAGCGGTGGTGACGTGAAGTCATGTGACCGCACTGTAGTTCCTTTATAGCCCAACATTAGCTTTTTTCTTAAAAAATCCTAAAGCGGTGTTAATATGTATATATAATAATAATCCAAAATCACATGGAGAAATCTATGTTTTTCGAGGGAAATGCTGCCTTCAGGGTCCACTACAGAGATCCATATCCGACATTCCAGTCCGAGCATACTGTTTACCTCCTCTAACTGAAAAAACAAGACTCGTTCTGCTTTTGGTTTTCCTCACTGCAAAGCGTATCTACAGTAAACTGTTGCACCGTGTCCGTCTCATTTAGTTTGAAATCGTAGAGATCATGTGAGGTGGTGCTCTGCTTCCTCTGACACGATGATCTCAATGATACCTTGCATATCTTACGATTAGAGAAAAGAGAACATCTGGAATGTTTCTCCTCGTGTGCATGATGCAACACGATTTATATTAAACCACTCCTGTAGTCTGAGCCCGGCTTTAAAGGCAGACGTCAGGATAAGAAAGGGTTTCAAGTTGCAAGGCTTTATTGTCATGTGCTCAACAGCTACAGTGTAGATATGTCAAAGTCCCAGGCTCCTCCAACAGAGCAACATGAATATATAGAGGACATAGAACAAATATAACAGATCAAATAGTGCAAGAGAATGTTTTGAGATGTGCAAGTTATTACAAATAAAATAGAAATAGTGCAAGTAAATGGAATATGATATATAGATAAATAATTTGCAAGATGGATGTTCTTTAAAAAGTTCAGTACAGACATTTCTCTTTTCCTTCTGCAGCTATTCTATACATCTACCTGTTTGAATGCATGTTTTCAAATTGCACATAGAAACCTTACTGGAAACACCGGAGACAATTGGCAGAAAAGTGCAGCTTATAGAATAAATAATAACGAAGTATGTGGCTTCAAAGCTCTCTCCTCAAAGCCTTTGTTTTCCTTGTTCTCTATGATATGTTTTGTCACGGAAAGTCATGTGCTGACAACGGGAGCTGAAGAGGGGCAGCAAGGGGAAACTGGTTACAGACGAGACACAGCTGACATTACTAAGGGTTTACATACTGGAGAGGACTCTTTAAAGTAGAGACACTACATACTGATATACACCTGAACATCAGCAGGAGAGGACTCTTTAAAGTAGAGACACTACATACTGATATACACCTGAACATCAGCAGGAGAGGACTCTTTAAAGTAGAGACACTACATACTGATATACACCTGAACATCAGCAGGAGAGGACTCTTTAAAGTAGAGACACTACATACTGATATACACCTGAACATCAGCAGGAGAGGACTCTTTAAAGTAGAGACACTACATATTGATATACACCTGAACATCAGCAGGAGAGGACTCTTTAAAGTAGAGACACTACATTCTGATATACATCTGAACATCAGCAGGAGAGGACTCTTTAAAGTAGAGACACTACATACTGATATACACCTGAACATCAGCAGGAGAGGACTCTTTAAAGTAGAGACACGGCATACTGATATACACCTGAACATCAGCTTTTCTTTCCTCAGGTGCATTTGATCCGAACATCCCGGAGGAGGGACCCTCGGCGCCTCCTCCTGGCTTCCTTGATGATGTGCACGGATACCTGGGCCACAAAGGAGGTGAGTCTCTCATTTCTAACCCTTTAAAGAGTTCTCTCTTTTTCCTGTAACATTTCCCAAACAATAACCTCCTATACTGTATGTGTGTGTTTCCAGAGGGGGACCACCCGTTGTACCCGCCTCCTCCTGCCTACGTCCCGCAGCCTGAACTCAACAAGAACACCCTGGTGCCCGTAGTCAAGTAACACACAATCATTTATACGTCATGTTTAACATAACAGCAACATCACTGAGAGCAAGTCTTCTCTGTTGCTGTGTGTCATGTGTTGTGTCTTGATGTTACACATGGAGCTGCTGTGATGCAAGGAGCATTTCAGACTTGATCTGACCAATAAAGTATTATCGTATCATATCAGATTATTCCGCTGATGATTCAGTGCTTTATCCTACCTAAATGTCCCTGTGTTTCCCACAGAGATGTGACCTGATCAGGGTGTTTGTTTCTCCTTCAGGGTCCCCACAGTGTCAGAGGACGTTGCTAGAGAAGCCCTGCTGAAGTTTGTGGAATCAAAATGGCGCTACAGCTCCAAACCGGCCAGGAACATGGTCTTCAAACAGCTCAAACCCATCACCGTGTACAGGGTACGAGCACAGGTCTCACAGCATGGGCAATAATTGGGGTGGGGACACATTTAAAAAAACAAACATATATTGTATTGCCACCCTCACATCATGCACTGACACTGTGGCGGCTTCATCATCATCATCATCCTCACACAAAAGAACGAATAAATATGTCTTCCTAGTTGATTAGTTAAAGAAAGTAGTCAACTAGTAAGGTCAAAATAAACGTTCCTAGGTTATTAGAGCACATTTTGGCACGACAAGTATTAGAACAAGTATATCAGGAGAAAAACATAGGTCAATAGATAGATAGATAGTACTTTATTGATCCCAAATTGGGAAATTGTTGAAACAAAAGCTTCTCATATCTGTTAATAACACTCAGAATGGTTTGGGTTATTCAAAGTTTTTGTTGTTTTCAGTTTGTATTTTTATGGTTGATCGCACTTATTGCATAGGATTGCGTGTCATTTAACGTAACAATTAGTCGAAGTAAATGCAGTCAGATATGGAATAAATACTCAAACGGTTTGCCATGCTCACTGAGTATTAAATGTGCACGTGAGAAAGTCAGCCAACTTTATAATTATTGTGGCGGCTCAATTCCCATTTCAATTGGAGTCGCCAAGCGGCTAAGTTTGGCTTCATGCTGTGACGCGTTTTCAATGAGAAAGTCCAAACTGAAGTTTAAGAAACGATATTTAATAAACAAAATCAAACACACAATAACTCAGAAGGACCAAAACGGTTAACAGAAGAAATGTCAGCGCAAACCACACCAAAGTGACAATTACCGGAAGTGATCAACAAATACAAATAAAAGTGACGTAAACAAATTATAATAAACTCAGGCTTGGCTCCTACACACACCTTAACACACCTGAGGACCGTTTGCACGAGAGAATGACAAACATGGACGAAACGTTTGTTAAAGTTTCTGATCTGCATGCACGTTTTGGGGTCATTTCATTGTAGATGAGAAATTATTGTATATGTATGTATAAATGTAAATGTAAGTAGGAATAACTTGCACAATGACTTAAAGGACAATCATTGATCAAGTAAGGGGTGGGAATTAATAACCATTTGCTTCATCCTACTCCCTTTCGGACACATATGATTTATTTTTAATTTTTAATTATTATTATTATTATTAATATGAAGATTTTTTTGTTGTTGAATATATAAATATTATCGTGAATGTGGATAAATACTGTATTTTAACAATACGGTATTCTGTTTTTTCACATTTGTTATTTTTTATTTGTTATTTTTTAATCTGTTCGAAATAAAGATTGAAATGAAATGAAATGAAATGAATTGTCAGTAAGGGAGAATTTTGTACTTAAATTACTTTCTTTGACAACTACTGTAGTGTAGTATCTGTGCCCGCTGCTGCAGAGAGGACACAACCTTGCTTTCTGGTCAAAGTTACCTCATGTTAAATACTGTATGTCCAAATTTGCTTCCCAGAGATACACCCAACACGTGTAAAACTAGCTGTTCTCGAGACGCATATATATCTTTCTCAAAGTGTTCTCATTTAAAAAGTGACCCCCCGTGTCCCCAGCATAAATTACGCATATCTCTTGCACAAAAGTGTAGCTATGGTTAGCTTTCTCTTGGCTCCAGTAGTAATGGTGACTACAGACAGATATGGTAGTCATGTGACCTCAGCATTTTGTACGTAGTCTCTCAATCTTGTATATTAAAGTGGACCTATCATGCTATATTTAAATGATATATTGTAGGGCCATACCTATATAAGGTATATTTATACGTTTCTGTTTTCAAAATACCAAACAGATCATGCATTTTAGCCATGCCTCATTTCGCTCTATGTGCTGTTTGCTGTCTACGGGTCTGATTCTGCTGACCACGCCCCCCTGCAGGAGAGGGGAGACGTGCTCTGATCAGCTGCTGGGCTGTCAGAAGAGGGGGAGAAAAAGAGATCTCCGTCCTCCGTGTTTTATTATATAGAGTCGTTATTCATTTGTTTTAAAGCTCAATAAATAACAAAGAAGACCTTTGACCGGCACTTTTCTAATTTTGTCCGGAAGATTTAAACTTTAACGGACATCTTGACCGGCGAAAGAAACTGAAACTGAAACTCTGCCGCACGGTCCCCTCGTTCCTTGGAAGAGGCGGAGAGGTGGGTGTTTGTCATCTGCTGGTGGACTAACCGGAGAGAATTACAGTGCTTGCCTCGACGGGGAGGGATTGCATTGAATTAAAGCAGCGGGAGCAAACGCTTGCCTCGGGGAGGGAGAAAGAAAGCCACAGCGGAGAATAAACAGAAGGGTAACCATGGTAACTATGGGCGGGAAGTCTTCTTCGCTGCTTTTGTGGCAGACTACAGCGCCACTTACAGGCCTGGCATATGTACTACAGCGTCTCCAGCGCTTTCGAGCGGCAATGGCCGGCCGTGGCCCAACCCCACATTCCCCTGATAGGTGGAGAGTTGGCCCAATAGCCGTAGCGCCACCGTCCTGACGTCAGGACAGTGTTCAAATCTGGATCAGTTTTTATCAGATCCGTTGCAGCCCCTTTTTTAGAGATTTGGGTATGGAGGAAAATAGAGAGGGTTGTGTTTTCTGACACTTGGTGAGTTCCCTGGAACACCGGGGACACATATTCATGTATAAAAGACGTACAAAAGTGCATTTTGCATGATAGGTCCCCTTTAAGTTTATATTCAGGGGGTCCGCGGGGTCTTAAAAAGTATTAAAAGTTGATAAATCAATTTAGCGGAAATGAAGGCTATTCAAAAGTATTAAAGGGCATTTTCCAAGGTATTACATGTTGTAGCTTGTTTTCAATAAGTATATAAATTGTCCAAAGAGGTTGTATTCTACAGTCTGCCTGAATGTAATCATTGCGTAGGTGTGTAGTGTGATTCTGTGTAGTTTATTTATGGCATCCCGTTGGATTTGACGTCATCTGAACAGGACATCGCACGCTCACTGCTTGATAGCGCGCGAAGGTCCGTTTACGCCGGTTGTTAAACAACATCGTTATGGGGAAATGCAAGTCTGCGTCCAAATGGTTGGAAGATAAGGAGGAAGGACAATGAATACTGTATATAGTCAATGTGAGGTGAAGTGTGTCGCCAAGGTAACCGGTTAAAACTCCAAGTGGCGATGAGGTCTTAAAATGTATGGAAAGGGTCTTAAAAAAGGTCTTGAAAGGTCTTCCATGTGACTTCAGGATTCCTGCATGTACCCTGATATTACAAATCCTGCAGAGCTGTTTATATACAGAAATACATCTCAGCTTCAAAGGGTAACTTAGAATAACAAAATAAAAAGGGATCACTTCCATTAATAATTTCCTGCTTCTCTTCTTCTGCAGTATCGACTGGAGACGTACACAGAGACCAGAACCAGCGCCTGGGAGTTTGAACCCTTCACTGGTAAAAATGTGCTCTTTAAAGGGATCCTATTATGCTTCTTTGTGGGGCTCCCTCTCCTGTAGGTGTGAGTGCATGTAAATGGTCTGCAAAGGCTAAAATGCCTGTGTTCCCTCCAGAGGTAGATTCTCTCCCACTAGCCTAGTCAGTGAAGTCATATGATACAAAATCAGCGCTGACGTTAGTTAAAAGTTAAAGATGGCGTCCTGTTATTCTTCCACAGGGCAGGTGGTGGACGGTCCTCAGTACGGAGCGAGTCCTCCTCCCTGGGACATCCCTCTGATGCTGCCTCAGAGATACAGCGACCGCGTGGAGAAGGCCCGCGTGCCACACTCCTCCTTCGTCAAGGTAAAACTCCTTCTTCCAGTCAAGATCTGTTTCTATGATTGTCATTATTAGTGTTTTTTTTTTTTACCAACTTAATACATTTGTGTGTTTTCTAGATGTGTCACAAGTGTAACGGCTGTGGAAGAACCCGCTGTGTCGGCTGCCATGGAAGAGGCCGGGTGAGACGTCTGTTTTAAACCTGATTTTAAAGGATTTATTAAGAGTTTGAGAACGTTATGGGTTGGGTAACATGAGCCAAAGAAACGCCTCACAATTTAGAAATGATATATATATATTATAAAGTATATCGATATAGGGATAAGTTGACTGGGTATCGTCTTAGATTGAAATGATCTTATCATGACCTAAGTGTGTTTTCTTGGTTTTAAATGCTGCATTACAGTAAAGTAAGGTCATTTTCTGAACTTATTAAATCCACATTACTGGGGTTTCTTTGTTTAAAAACTAAAAACCCTTCTAGAAATGATCAATATTTGGCATATTTCCTCCCCAAAAATGTAAAGAGGAATGGGTTATGAAGGTGTCTTTGTGTTGATGGACTTATCGTTTCAGCTCGTCTCTCTCTGTATTTGTTAACATACCTTTGTTTTATATAAAATGTAGGATAAAACGCTGCCTCTCTCTCTCTGATTGTGCAGAAACGCTGTCCGTTCTGCCACGGTCACGGTCGCTCCAGAAACAAACGCTGCAACTCCTGCAGCGGCCGAGGACGCAAGAGGTGAGAGACTCAACGCTCACTTTTACCCTTATCTTTTCTCAGCCGCGGCTCCGCGGATTTCTCAGCCTGAACTCAGCCTGAACTCAGCCTGAACTCAGCCTGAGTTTAGGCTGAGCTCAGCCTGAGCACACACACACTAACAGCCTGGCTGTGACCCCAGGCAGCAACCAGGAAACGACACCAGTAATCCAGCTCACACTGTCCGCTCCTCGAGCAAAAAGACTACTTACTGTAGTGTTGCAAAAAGACTACTAAGTGTTGCAAAAAGACTACTAAGTGTTGCAAAAAGACTGCTAAGTGTTGCAAAAAGACTGCTAAGTGTTGCAAAAAGACTACTAAGTGTTGCAAAAAGACTACTACGTGTTGCAAAAAGACCACTAAGTGTTGCAAAAAGACTACTAAGTGTTGCAAAAAGACTACTAAGTGTTGCAGAAAGACTACTACGTGTTGCAAAAAGACTACTAAGTGTTGCAAAAAGACTACTAAGTGTTGCAAAAAGACTACTAAGTGTTGCAAAAAGACTGCTAAGTGTTGCAAAAAGACTGCTAAGTGTTGCAAAAAGACTACTAAGTGTTGCAAAAAGACTACTAAGTGTTGCAAAAAGACTACTAAGTGTTGCAAAAAGACTACTAAGTGTTGCAAAAAGACTGCTAAGTGTTGCAAAAAGACTACTAAGTGTTGCAAAAAGACTACTAAGTGTTGCAAAAAGACTACTAAGTGTTGCAAAAAGACTACTAAGTGTTGCAAAAAGACTACTAAGTGTTGCAAAAAGACTGCTAAGTGTTGCAAAAAGACTACTAAGTGTTGCAAAAAGACTACTAAGTGTTGCAAAAAGACTACTAAGTGTTGCAAAAAGACTACTAAGTGTTGCAAAAAGACTGCTAAGTGTTGCAAAAAGACTACTAAGTGTTGTAAAAAGACTACTAAGTGTTGCAAAAAGACTGCTAAGTGTTGCAAAAAGACTGCTAAGTGTTGCAAAAAGACTACTAAGTGTTGCAAAAAGACTACTAAGTGTTGCAAAAAGACTACTAAGTGTTGCAAAAAGACTACTAAGTGTTGCAAAAAGACTGCTAAGTGTTGCAAAAAGACTACTAAGTGTTGCAAAAAGACTGCTAAGTGTTGCAAAAAGACTGCTAAGTGTTGCAAAAAGACTACTAAGTGTTGCAAAAAGACTACTAAGTGTTGCAAAAAGACTGCTAAGTGTTGCAAAAAGACTACTAAGTGTTGCAAAAAGACTGCTAAGTGTTGCAAAAAGACTACTAAGTGTTGCAAAAAGACTACTAGTGGCAGGTTGATGGCATTAAGACAGACTACAATACAACCTTAAACGACTACACAGACGCTGAAAGACTACAAAAGGGTCCAAAAAGTCTACAGAGTGACGCTTTATGAGAGACCCTAAATGACTACAAAGTCATGAGAAGAGACTGTTCATGTAGGACTGATTCTGATTGTGACCTTTTTGTGACTTTAGGCTGAATAATATTCTACCATCTGATGCTTTCTTCTGCTCCTCCTCTCAGGTGCATCTCCTGCCATGGGATGGGCTATAAGACGTGCTCTGTGTGTCAGGGCAGTCAGAACATGCTGCACTCCATCCAGCTCACGGTCACATGGTAAGAACTCCTGCTTCTGCACGTCTGCTTCCACGTCTTTTTGGGTATAAAAATACGTGTTTTTGGGTTTGCAGGAAGAACAACATTAGCAACTTTATCCCCGACCGGCAGCCGGATTTCCCCGACAAGAACTTTGAGAATGTCTCAGGAGACCCTTTCTTCATCGATGAGTCTAACCTGGTAAAAACAAAAAAACAACAGTATTTCAGAGGGCAGAGGTGCAGAAAGTGTCCGATCACAGACGCATTATGGTCCATGGGAAAGTCTATGATTTATCAAGGCTTTTTAGGATATGTTTAATTATAGTGCCGCTGTTAATTATTGTTTGGTGCATCTGGTTTTCCATATCTGCATGCATGTGATGCAGATCACCAGCTGGAGAAGTTTGTCCACCTTCTCTCTGAATATACAGAACATTACTGAATTGTATTTAAAGGTCCCCTATTATCCTCTTCTTCATCAATATATCCCAGGTCTCAGATATATCCAGAGCCTGTCTCTGATTGGCTGAAACACCAAACAGATCATTGCAGCATTACCCATAATGCCCTCTGTTTCAGCCCTGTTTCCAAAGTGCTGATTCTCTGTCTGTTACTTTAGATGAAAATAAGGAGCCCCTCCCCACACCCCTCTGAGAGACATTTGGTTACAAAGAACTCAATGGTGCTCTAGGAGGAGATTCAGGTGATAAGGGGGGGGGTTACCTTGGTTGCTGATTGGCTAATGGTTACACAAGACAAAACATCGTTATGACATCAAGTGGCCAAAAAAAGAAGAGACATGAAGAAGAGGGGACACATGTTGATGTAGAAGAGACATGAAGAAGAGGGGACACATGTTGATGAAGAAGAGACATGAAGAAGAGGGGACACATGTTGATGAAGAAGAGACATGAAGAAGAGGGGACACATGTTGATGTAAAAGAGACATGAAGAAGAGGGGACACATGTTGATGTAGAAGAGACATGAAGAAGAGGGGACACATGTTGATGTAGAAGAGACATGAAGAAGAGGGGACACATGTTGATGTAGAAGAGACATGAAGAAGAGGGGACACATGTTGATGAAGAAGAAGAGACATGAAGAAGAGGGGACACATGTTGATGAAGAAGAAGAGACATGAAGAAGAGGGGACACATGTTGATGTAGAAGAGACATGAAGAAGAGACATGAAGAAGAGACATGAAGAAGAGGGGACACATGTTGATGTGGAAGAGACATGAAGAAGAGGGGACACATGTTGATGAAGAAGAGACATGAAGAAGTGGATTTTGTATAATAGGTGACCTTTAATATTTAAATTGACCCCAGACCTCCTGCGCTCTGTAGCAATCGATTAGAAGTTGTGGTGTGTGTGCTAGTTGTCACAGAGCACACACACCACTGCTCACCACCTGCTGACATCAACCAGCAGAGGGTTCAGTCTGTGTTGATGTTTCTGTGTTTCCTCTTCTATTTCCCTCCAGGTTTATCCCATCCAGGGTTTCCCCGATCAGGAGATCTGCGATGTTTCCACAAAGATGATCAACGAACACTACGGGCGCTTCAGCTCCACCAGCCGCATCCTGCAGCAGGTACACACAAACATGGACCTCAAAATGTGTCTGAAAGAGAGGCAAAAACCTAAAGGGAGACGTAAAACAACAGTGACACTAAAAGACTACGAAGTATTTCTAAATTACTACAAAGTAACAAAAAGACTACAAAAGGGTGCCAAAGGACTACAAAATTAACAAAAAGAATACAAAAGTGCTAAAAGACTACAAAAAGTGATGTTTAAAAACTACAAAGTGATGCAAAATGACCCTACATTTCCCTCCCTAATGAGGATCCTCACCCCTCTCTCCCCTCCCTCTCTCAGCGGCAGACCATCGAGCTGGTTCCTCTCACCCACGCTCTCTACACCTACAGCGGGAAGGACTTCAGCTTCTTCGTCTACGGGGTGGAGAACCAGGTGTTCGCTGCCAAATACCCCTCCGCCTGCTCCATCTTATAAACATATATATATATTTAAGCAATAGCTCACGACAGGCCGTGGTATATGCTCATTATATCACAGCTAAGGGGCGTGGTTCGGCCCGACGCGAAGCACCATTAATTTGTATGTTACCGTTTATTGTGCAGCCACTGAAAACCTGTCCAGCATCAGTAGCATGGCTTACGTGGTTACTTGTATAGGCTGAGGTTGTTCTAGGCTGTTGCTTGGCGTGGCGAGAATATTGCTCCACTTTCTCCGGTCCCTGAGATTGGGCTTCCAGTAGCTCTGGAGAGAGCTTTCTCACCTGTGGCCACTAACGCTCATCATTTCTCTGCTTTGTTTCAAGACCCGCATCAGAAAGCTTTTGAATGGTGATACTTTTCCAGTTGGTCTACCTGCTCTTCACGTAGCTCTGCATGTGGTCGTTTAGGTGCTTTCTGGAGATAGGCACTCCTCAAACCACTCCTCCATAGTAAGACCCCCCCGGAGGTCAAAGTTAAGAAAGGGATAATGCGAGGCGGTCATTATGGGTAAAAGAATACCCGACAGGCAGATCAAAAATAGTCCGTTGTTACCGTTTGAACTACGTAGCAATGGCAGGAACTGCTTCGATAGCGTTTTTGCTGACTTTTTTTATTACAGATTTGAAAACATCGTTGCTTGCTTTAAAAGTAGCACAATTTATTATGTCAAACCTTGGGAAGTATCTAGATATCTCTGCTCTAATGCCAAAGGAACTGCACACTGAATATGTGTCGCCGTCTGATGTCTATGTCTGGACCGCTGCGTAAAAAGGAGGGTTTTTGCCCCGTTACTTCTCCGCTGTTTTCTTGTCCCAGCCCAACTGTATACAGTTAAATTGACCGGACTTCTTTCTGCAGATGTGAGCGTCCTTAACAACGGTCAATAAGTCCTTGCTGCACATTATCCCTTACATGTTTCCATCTTAAGCTTTGTTAGTTAGTTAGTTTTGTAACGGACGTAATGTAACAGTTGTAACGGTTGTAGCTTTTCTCAGACGCGGAGGGATACTGACTTGTTGTGAAAAGTAACTACAATTCTACCCGTGATATACGCTCATTATATCACGGCTAAGAACCAATCAGATTGCTTGATTTGACTTGTCCGTTTTATAAACATCAATATATATATTTTTCTAATCATTTATCACAGTTGCTACCAAAGATATTTACAAAGAACACGAGTAATACTAATTTGCCAGTTACAGGAGGAGTGCAGATTAATGGATCTATCTTTCTGTAACGAGGCCCCAGCGATCATTTGATCCTCATTTTTACAGCCTGTTTATTATAAAAATAAGTATAAATATATGTGGATTTGTTTTTTTTATGTCTCCTCTGTGTGTGTGAGGATGCGGTGCGTTCAATGACCAAACGAAGCCTTAACATTACGCTAAAACACTTACATTGTATATGTTTGTAAAGGAAACTGACTCTTTAAGAAATAACATTTCCTCCGATATGAGAGCCTGATAAAGTTAAATTAAAAATAAATAAGTCAAGTTTTCACATGTGTTTTAGATATGGATACCAAAGGTCATCACAACAAATATAAGTGATGCTAACACGTCAAGTTTGACATGTAACTTTGGTACAAGTACTTTTTGGTGGAGTGAGTGTTTACTTTTTGAAAAGCTTTATTTATTTTCTGCATCTGCCAGTTATTAAGATAACAGTAGGCATAATCAAAATGTTTATAATATATTTAAAGGTCCCATGTCATGGCCATTTCTACTGATCATAATTCCATTGTTGAGGTCTACTAGAATAGAAGTACATTGTTCAATGTTCCAAACTCACATTGGTTTCTCATACAGCATCTCTGTATAGTCTGTGTATTCACTCTCTGTCCTAAACGGCTTGTTGGAGCTCCTCCCCCCCCTCCCTATCAAATCAAATCAAGTTTTATTTAAATAGCACATTTTTAAAACGATTTTTGGTCGAGCCAAAGTGCTGTACATATAATAATTACCTTACAGTAAGGACACTTTACAGCAAATATAACAGCACAGTTTGTTCAGAATATCAGTATGAGAAAACGACCCCCTCTGTCCTTTAGACCCTCTGTCCTTAGACCCTCTGTCCTTTAGACCCTCTGTCCTTTAGACCCTCTGTCCTTAGACCCTCTGTCCTTAGACCCTCTGTCCTTTAGACCCTCTGTCCTTAGACCCTCTGTCCTTAGACCCTCTGTCCTTTAGACCCTCTGTCCTTAGACCCTCTGTCCTTAGACCCTCACATCGTACAAGGAAAAAACTTCCGGAGAAAAAAACCCCACAGTTTAAAGGGGAACATGTGAGAAACCTCAGGGAGAGCAACAGAGGAGGGATCCCTCTCCCAGGACGGACAGACGTGCAATAGATGCCGTGTGTAAGAGATAATACATTTTACAGCGTAGGTAGACAGAATGTTAGGAAATGCATGTGTCTGTAATAAGAAGATGAATCCACGAAGGTGTCAAGAACAATCCTGTGGGAGCCATCAGGGAAGCAGCATGACGAGACCCAGGCAGGACCACAGAGACAGGCCCAGCCACGACCCGAAGTCCACGACTTGATCCAGAACTCAGGATAGAGGATCCAGGGCACAGGACCACAGCAAGAGGATCAGCCTCGACTCCGGATCCCGGCGTAGATATAGACACAAAACAAAATATGGGGGAAGCTGGGTTAATCTGAACAAGAGAATACACAGACACAGAGAGGCACACGCAGGGAGCAAGGTCACCACTGGAGCCTTAGTTGGAGTTGGTGAGAGGTAAGGAGGTACGCTGTGACTACGGCATAACACCCGGCTGGAATAAGCCCCTCTGCAAACCTGTTTCCCTCTAATAAAACCTCGTGAGGTCATGGAGGGAAAAGGTTGTGGATAAAGAGAAAATAGAAAGAGTAGTAATAACCTTAGTTTTAAATATAAGATCCAAGTTTTTAGGATTTAAGTGAAAGAGCAAGAACCAAAATGTAGGTGAAGAGGCACAGCGTATCAAAGCACTCTCATTCGATTATTTTATCAACTATAAGCTTTATCAAAAGGAAGGTCTTAAGCGTACTCTTAAAACGGATAGGCTGTCGGCCGCCCGAACACAAACTGGAAGCTGATTCCACAAAAGTTGAGCTTGATAAGAAAAGGCTAGAAGGCCAGAGAGAAGAAGTGAGTTTTTAGTGTTGATTTAAAAACCCCTCGGGTCTGGGCCGACCTCACATGGAGGGGCAGAGTGTTCCAGAGCCTAGGGCCAGCTGCTGCGAAGGCTCGGTGCCCTCGGGTTTTGAGCCTGGTCTTGGGCACTACCAGCAGCAGCTGGTCAGCAGACCTTAAAGCTCTGGCTGGGGTGTAGCGCTGGAGGAGTTCAGCTATATAGGCCGGAGCCAGCCCATTTAGTGCTTTGAAAACAAATAAAAGGAGTTTAAAATCAATTCTGAACTGAACTGGAAGCCAGTGTAGTGAGGCCAGAATTGGGGTGATGTGGTCACGCTTTTTATGGCCAGTGAGAAGACGTGCAGCTGCGTTCTGCACTAGCTGCAGGCGTCTAATTGACGCCTGGTCCATACCCACATACAGAGCGTTGCAATAGTTCAGTCTCGAGGTAACAAAGGCGTTAATAACCCTTTCTAAGTCATTAAAAGATAAATACGACTTGGTTTTGGCCAATAGTCATATTTTGAAAAAGCAGGTCTTGACTACGCTGCTGACCTGCTTATCAAATTTAAAAGTGCTATTAAAGGTCACTCCAAGGTTCATGACCGAGGGGAGGATGTTTTTATTGAGGAAGCCCAGAATATCAACCGGAGAGGCTGGAGGTTGCAGTCCAAAAAAGATGACCTCAGTCTTGCTCTCGTTGAGGTTGAGAACGTTTTTGCTCAGCCAGGATTTAATCTCTGTTAAGCAGTCCATCAGCTGCTGTAGTGAGTTAACATTTGGATTGAGAGGCAGATAGATCTGTACATCATCAGCGTAACAATGGAAGGGGATGTTGTGTTTTGTGAGAATTGAACCTAGGGGCAGTATGTACAGTAGAAAAAGGATGGGGCCCAGAATCGAGCCTTGGGGAACCCCACAGGTAAGAGGGGCTTTGGCTGAGGAGAAGGCACCTAGCTGTACCGAGAAGCTACGGTCTGTCAGGTAGGACCTGAACCATGCAAGGGCAGAGCCTGTGATGCCAGCGGACTGTTCAAGCCGTGACAGCAGGATGCTATGGTCCACAGTGTCAAAGGCAGCTGTCAGGTCTAACAGCACCAGGACAGCTGGGCTACCTGAGTCGGCGGCTAGGAGCAGATCATTAAAAACTCTTAAAAGAGCTGTTTCAGTGCTGTGCATGGGTTTGAAGCCAGACTGAAACTTTTCATGGATTCCATGGATGGTTAAAAAAGACTGCAGCTGGGCGTAGACTACTCGCTCCAGGGCTTTTGATAAAAAAGGTAGCTGGGAGATGGGCCTAAAATTTGCGAGAATGGAGGGGTCGAGATTTTTCTTTTTAAGTAGTGGCTTAACCACGGCATGTTTGAAGGCAGCTGGGACACATCCTGAGGTAAGAGAGGTGTTTAAAAGTAATAAAATACTTGCTCCAACTGATCCTAAAACATCTCTGAGAAGGCGAGAGGGAATGCTGTCTGAGGTGCAGTTTGTCGGCCGCAGGTGCTTGACTACATCCGAGAGAGAAGAGAGGGATACAGGCTCAAAGTGGTCGAGGACAGCAGGGCACAGAAAAGGAGCAGGATCTGGGGTAGCACTAGTGTGGGCTAGCCTAAGAGCAGATACTTCTTCAATAAAAAATGTAAGAAATGTATCACAGAGAGTAGTCGATGGCACAATTGGAGAAGCATCACAGGGATTAATGATAGAGTTGAGGACATTAAAAAGAACCTGAGGTTTATGGGCTATGAGCCCACTGTGCTCTGATTGGTCAACTCGCCCACTCTGTTCTGATGTGTCCACCACCGTTACAGCGGGACATCAGTGAGTATGTGTTACAATGGCGTTAGCAACCAGAAAATGACACCAGTAATGACAAACAGATGAGAATGCTGCGTGGGGTCTGGGTGCCGTGTTGGCGGGACGTTGCGGGGCTCGCTGCTCTGCCCTTTGTGGCTCGGGGAGCGGACAGTGTGAGCTGGGTTACTGGTGTCGTTTCCT